ATGCAAGTCAGTAGAATCAAGTCACAAGAGGTGAAAGGCAGATGTGTTCTTGCTGCAGACTCTGTTCTCTGATAGCAGTCTAGCTTATTATTCCTGTTCCCATGGGATATAAAGATGCTTCTGGGAAGATTTCTTTATCATGCTTCTGAATGGCTTCTTTAAAGGACAAATTAAAATTCACAATGCAAAGCCTTCTGGACTGTGGGGAATTGCTGATTTCTCTGAGCAAGGAAGCTGAAGCCTCATCCCTGTGGTCGGAAGGGCTCTGCTTTGCACTGAACCACCACCAGATGAGCTCGTGGATTGTTTTCTCCCCCCTCATGACGGAAATAGCCCAAGGCCTGGAAAAGCATTAGCAGGAAGAGCACAGCATCAGGAAATGCAAAGGGCACCCAGCCAGGACATGACTACACAGCTTTCAGCTGCCCAGCGGTTGGGACTTTGCATTTTTGGGTGAAGGGATTCAATTCCCTCTTGTCAGAATCGCTGTTTCCCAGCCAGATGCTTCCAGCTGGATGAGTGTGTGAGCAATGAGTGCTGAGCATCCCTGCGCACACACTGTGGCTACTCTTATGCCTGGGGTCTTTTGTTTGTGGATGTGGCAAGTGTGTAGGTTCATATGTAGGGATCATATGTGCCATTTGCCATGCCTGTGCAACCCACCTCTGTGTTCTTTCAGGATGGAGCAGGGGAGCTCAGCAGTGCTGAGGTGTCATTACTCATCCCTGTGGAGTTATTCCAGGTTCCCAGCTTGCTTGTGTAACTGAAAGGGTTTTGCCTTTTATCTATGACATGCGGGCGGAATAGTGGGAGGATTTAAATTTGGGAATGAAATTGGCAGAGAGTTTAGCCCAGTGCCTGTGTTCTGCAGTAAGCAAGTTACAGTGAAACCTGTTATTTCTCTAGGGAAGCATCATCAGTGGACTTTGGAACTGCATTACAGAGCGGGCTAAGATATTTTGAACCCAAAAGCCATAGAATAGACTTAGACCCAAAAGAACAGACTTAGGCATGTCGTACCCTTGAAGGATGGGAAATCCTTCAAAAAAGTGTTAAAAGAACCTGGTATAATCTCTTTCCCAAAGCTTTCTACTTGGTAAATGGGAAAAGACACTGCAGGGAAGGAGTTAGGTGCTTGCTTAAGGACTGAGGTCTTTTTGTCTTCCACTACAGCTTATCCAAGATGAATGCATGGCTGCAGTACCCCTAACCACAACTTGGCTTCATAATTCATCTCCCCAAGGACTTCATTCAGATATAAAAGCACCATGTGACTGGAAAGGATGGATAAATGTTCACTCTCACTTCCTGTAATGAAGCTGGAACTCCATTACAGTGATGGAACTGAATAGGTCCCTGAGATCACTGTCCTTGAAACCAAAGAGTTGGAACCTTTTATATTAAGCCTGTGCACCAAAGAGCAAGCTCAAGTTTCATGCTCTCCTAGCCACAGTCAGTTGTATTCATGCCTTAGTGGATACCAGACCCAAAATGTCTTCCTCCTCCACAGAGTCCAAATATATCAACTCCTTTTCTTAGGTTACAATAAAAATGGGGAATAAATTAAGATGCTCTCTCCACCTTCTTGAAGGAGACAGGCAGCTAGACCGCCTTGTTTCACCAGCCTCTAGCTGATGGCTGCAGGTTAAACAATGCTCTAGCCTTCCTGAAAAGAAAAGCATCCCCAGAAATGCCAGCTCCCTTTTGTAGCTGTTATGTCCAGCTATCAGAAGCACAAAGAAACCAAGTGGAAAAATTGAATCTGGCAGGAAGAGTGCAATGCATGAAGGCACACAGCTTCCAAACCCAGAGAGCAAAAATAGCTGCAAGAGCAAAAACTGGCCTGCAAGAAGCTCTTTAATTATTCCATCTCTTTCAAAAGCTTTGCCCCCGGCACAGCCAGGCTGCCATTTGTATAGGGAAGCTGTATGTGTTGTAGTAAAGCTTGAGCACTGCATTATTAGAGAGAAAGAAGTGGCTTTTTTGGCTGTGTTTTCAAAGAGCTGGTAGCAGATCGATTGTGGGCAGAGCCCTGGGCATGAGGCAGTCTGTATGTTCCTAGTGAGTCACCAGGATTTCAGTTTCAGTCCGGCTGATGTGAGGGTGAAGGGGTTTAGGTTTCTGCTTGGATTCTAGAGGCAAAGCCATTTAGCTTTTAGCTGACTCTACAGTAACCAGCAGCCTGGTGAGTCTGTGTTTCAGGGCATTGACAGAACACCCTGTCTTCCAGAAGCCACCCATTCCCTCCTGTGGTGTCTAAGTCTGTCTCTTTCTCCAACCCTTGCAAGTTGACACTTTTGAAGCTATTGAGGAACACTAAGAATACTGCAAAGCTTTAAAATACTCTTGTGTGTGTCGTCTGTGTTGAAGAGGACATCTGAGTTTGCTCAGATTAGGGAGCAGATACTTGGTTATTATTACACTGGAATACATAGCAATTGTATGAAGCTTCCCTGTTGGCTGAGATGTTCAAATGAGCACTGCAGCAGGACTGGAAAGAAAAGGAATTGCTAAATGCCAGTAACGTGTCCAGTGTAATTTGCAAGCCAATGGAAAGACCAGTGTTAAGTACACCAACTTAAAGAACCTTTTCTGAACTGTCAAAGGGACTTTAAAAGTAAAATCAGTTTCTTCTTCTTTGGGCAAGTCCCTTGCTGACCACCTGGGTACCAGAACAAGAAGAGAGGGATGCCAGGTCAGGTGAGCACTGTGACACAGTAAGGGAACAGAGCTGAAGCAGAGGTTGTTGTTGTCTCTTCTGTTAGTGTTTGCAATGTCCCCTTTTGTTGTACGGCTTGAGAGAGCAGAGAGGTTATCAAGGGAAGAGAAGATGATGTGTGGGGCCAGGGAAGGTATATCACATGTGCTTCATTTGTCCTCAGCAGGTGTAAACTGTCTCTAAGTGGGTATTTCTCCTTGCATGGCAGGAAATAGAGGAGCCAGTTGTAGACAGTAGTTGTATTTTCTTGCATCCAGTACTCTAGAATGAAAGCAGATTCCAGGCTGTCTTTTAGGATATATAATGGTGATGAATAACTTAGGCTGTTTCCTCTGGATTAGATGTTCTGCTTATGTTAAGATGTAGGGAGTATTGTTTGCTGAGATGACATCAAGAGCTCTTGGATGAAGGGAGTAGAGACCCATCTTTTCCTCACACAGGGTTTCAGCTCCTGTTGCTGCAGAGCATCACAGCTCATTGAGGAAAGGCAGACCTACCCCTTTGTTAGAAGAGACCAGATGAGGAAAGGACAGCAGTGGAGTCACAAGCGGCCTGTAAATGGTCAGCATCCCCCTTTTGCCCTCCCTGGCTGGGAGCAGCATGGGCAAACCACAGGCTAGAAGGAACTGCTAATGGAAAGGGACATTGATGGAGGTGACACTCCTCTGCTTGTAAGTAATGTCATCTGGGAGCAGGAGAGCAGTGGAAGGGGAGGACAGGAGTCTGAGGAAAAGTTCCAGCTCTTACATCATGGTTCTTGAATACGCTGCCAGTTCACATTCAACAAGATCCATGGACTTTGTGGCCAATAGCTGCATGACGGCAGACTCTTTCCTCTTCACTCCATCCAGATTACTCAGAACTATAGCAAATGTTGGCTGTCTCATAGCTCGCAGATGGGGCCTGCACTCACCCATGTAAGCTATTGTGCATATTTCCCATTGAAGGATGCTTGGAATAGATGTTTACTGGATGTGCTGTGCTGCTTTGGTTACGTGTAATCCATGTAAGGTACATACAAGTACCACGCTGCTGGCCTGAACCCTTCCTCAGCTTGGCAGAAAGTTAGATTTAGACCTCAGGGGCTTTCTTCTTAAACCTGTCCTTCCTTCTCCAAGAAGCATGTCCCTTAGTGATGACAGTCACTGTTTTCATCCTTCACTAATTCACAGGGGACACCAAGAGCCCCAGAGACACAGAGCTACTACATACTCTAATTGTCCTTTCAGGACTTCTGCTGTTCCCTTTGGTGGGTGTTCTGCCCTTTTGCTGGGGCAACAATATTGACTCATGTGGCTCTAAGTCACAGCTCTCCCCTCCTGTTCTGCCAGCTGGCCCTAGTTCAGAAAGCCTGAGTGTAATATTTCAAGAACCAACCTTTTAAATTACAAGCCCACAAGCTTAAGGAGCTCCTTGCAGGGAAATTTGGGTTGCTTATCCTTGGTGTGTAAGGGTGGCGTGAGGCTTACCACATTTCCAGGTGTGTGGTTAAAGAAACATCTGTCCAAGTATGGAGATCCTACAGCAGCAAGCAGCTCTGCAAGGGAATGCTCTCAGGTTTACAGTGCTTACTTTTGGACTCCAGCCTCCAAAACGTCATTCCATAGCACGTGCCTCAATCTGGGAATGCCTATTGCAAATGCCTGATGTCATGTTAATATTTCACTTTGTGAGGGAGGCCCAGTGACCTTTGCAGCTGGATTCTAATGGCCTGTTACTGTCACATCTGCCCAGTGACGTGGAATGAAAACAGATCTGATAATCATGGAGCAGATTTGTCCGTATGCAGGCAGAGCCCACGTGAGTGAAAGAGACTCATGGTGTTAAAGGACCAAGATGTGTTTCTGCTTGAGTGAGGGCTCCTAAAGTTCAAAGAACATGTAATTCATCACATAGCTGCACTTCAGGCACAGCAATAGCCTGGAAAATAGTGTTTGGTGGTACTAAATAGGCAATCTGTGACTGATAGGAGTGGATGGCTAACATGTAACAGTGGTTATTTCTGTATCACTTGGCATTGCTACCAATTAACAACATTGCCTACAGAATCACTTTTCCCAGCCCTGTGGAATTCATTCCTGATGTGGTGTGATCCTTCTCCAGAGTAAGTCCTGAGTTTATGTAGCAGCAGGAAATCCCAAGTAGGAAGTGTGAGTCCCTTCTCTTGTCCACCATCAGCACACATACCTTAGTCCCTCTCATCTTTACTCATGGGACTTCTGGCTTCTTTCCCCATCATAAGCAATGGATTAATGATTGCTTTTTGCTGTTGTCATTGCAGGGCAACCATTGATGAAGTGGAAACAGATGTGGTGGAGATAGAGGCAAAGCTTGACAAGGTAAGATGGGGCAGCTCAGTGCAATGGTTTGAAGAGGGACTGATGAGTTCCTGCTTAGGAATATGGCCCCACCAATCACTTCTAAAACATGAACCCCTCTCAGGCAGTCAGGAAGCTAATAGTGTACAGGGCTTGTCAACAGGACCATGACTCCCTCTACTGACAGGTACCTGCCAAGGCTCCTTTGTGACTGCCAAAGGATTCAGAGCAAGAGCTCCAGGTAGGTTCCTAATGCTAAAGGAAGGCCTTCTTGTTCTGGTCCTGGATGTCAGGTGACTGACACTGCTTCTCTTGCTGTGAAAGCTATTTTGGTGCTGTCTGATTCCTTTCTCCATCACCTTGCTTGTGACATTAAGGAGCTGTTACATGTCCACACAGCCCCAGCACCGCTGTGTCAGCTAAGGGATATAAGGAGACCCTTGCAGGTAAACAAGGGGCCAGATCCAGGCTGGTGGTGGTGGTGCTGTCTGATATTCAGCCAGGCTGTGCACCACAGCTGCAATCTGACAGTGGCAATAGCTTCTTAGGGACCACTTTGGCTGTTTTGCTTTTATGCTGGTGATTCTTTACATCCAGTTGGTAGTTTGGATCCAAGTCAGAGGCTTTATGATGGAAGGCGGCTTTTCCACCCCCACTTCTCCTGATGTCTGAGACATCAGCCAAGTTGTTTCTGAACAGGAACAGAGAAAAATGAAGAAAAGGAGCCAGAGGAGCTGTGGGCTTTTTATCTGAGAGATTTCCCAAAGCTACCAAGGGATAAAACTGCTGCATGTGATGGAGAAATGGGCTTTGTTGAAGTCACCAGCCTTAGGCAAAGCTGTGTCCTATAAAACCCATTTACTAATCAAGCTGCTTGAAACAGTTATCTGCACAAGCTAACTAGGGACACTGGTGAAAGCTGCAGAGGGATTTGGGCTATCTGTTTTCCTCTAAGCTAAGGCTCTAAAGACAAAGCAAGGGGTGAAACTTGCTCTGAATCTACCATTACTGCTGTCAGTGCCCGCTGTAGTTAGACAACTTGGTGTGCCAGGAACAGCCCTGGAGTGAGAAGGGTGGGCTGGAAATGCAAGAGCCACTGAAAGTTCTCAGTTTTTTTATTGTTCAGTGCTTTGTTGCAAATTGATTTGAGCTCCTTTGGGTGAGGACTGCATCAAAAGAATTTCCTGCAGCTTTGCCTTCCCCTGACAGCAGTTATGGGGTAATATTCTGGTGGGTGGCCATTTCATTCTGCTTGCATGCATCATTCCCCTGCCTGCTGCAGAGGTGACCAGTCACACGGAGTGCTGCCTCAGTCTCCATCAACTACAGGGTACCAGCCCTGGGTGCAGGGGGAGTGAGGCTGGAGTTTGCACCTGAAGAGCCACTGAAGTTCAGCTTTGTTTGCTGAGAGTAACTTTGGGCAAGAATCAGTCACCCTCATTCCTAATCAGTCAGTATTTGATGTCCCAGCTCCTCTCTTTCGGCCTTCCTAGGGCTTGGTGTTGTGCAGTGGTACCCAAATAGCCCGCATCACTAGTTCTGGAAGAACAGGAAGCTGGCAAGGACTGAATGCTTCTCTGCCTTTTACTCTGCTCCTGAGCACTTGGTTTATAAATGATAAGCCTTTTAACACCTCTTTAAGATTGAGGTAAAGGGCAGTGCAAGAGATTCATCTAAGGGAAGACCAGAAATTGGGGCTTGTTTTGCTGTTTCAAAGAGAATTCCTTCATTCTGTCCTGTGCTCCATCTGCAAAGCCACCACTGCTCCCCTTGGGAGCTTATTTGTGCTGTATGGCCTTCAGCTACCAGTAACTCAGCCTTGGCCAGGAGGGTGTGCACAGAGGCATGCTAGAAACCGCCACGTTGCAGAATAGGCTGGGTTTCCTTTCCAGAGGATCTGTCCAAACCTCTAGTGTATGTCTGGGCTCCAGATGTGACAGGAACTGCATCTGTTTGCTTTGCTTCTCTGGGCTTGGATGGGATAGCCACAAATGTGCTAGCACCCAGCATCAAAATGAGTGGCCAGGAGAGGATGTAAGTGTGAAAGAGTGAAGACTTTATATACTGTGTATACACAGATAAACCCTGTGTGACTATATATGTATTTATACATTCAGATATGTTCTTACAGAACTGCAGACAGAGGAAGCCATCTTGTTCTGCAATGCATGCATAGAGATTAGGCCCCAAAGCCTTGTGGCTGCATAAATAGAAAAGCACCAAGCCCCAAACCAGCACACCATGCTGCAGTGGGGCTTTGGTATCCAGCCAAACTGGAGAGCTGCTCATTGCCAGCCTGTAGGTGAGGCTGGTTGACAGGGCAAGATTTCTAAAGCCATTTGTCATCAGTAAGATTAATATCCCTAAAAACCTGGATTTTGAGAATGGAAAACTTCAGTTCCAAGAATTGCTCATTATCAGCAATTAAAGTTTTCATTTAAAAAGCTCAGAACAGTGATGATTTAAGAAATAAACCAACAACCAAAAACTGGAATCGTTTTGCTCAGTGATCAGCCATTCCTGTTGCAAATCTCTTGGGCTTTTGGTTTATGGGTTTATCTGAAGTTGTTTAACATAACCTTTTACAAGGAGCTTTTGCTGAAAGGAGATAGGCTCATGGCCAGGAATCCTGGTACTAAGCTAATGCTCCAGTCTTGACAGTGAGTTCCAGGCATGTTATAGCAGTTTGGTGTGGTTAGGAAGTCTGGGAATGTTCCCTGCAGCTGTTGAATTACCAGAAGTTAATAAAGGCTGTCTGTAGGTGCAGCAAAGAGACTCCAATGAGAGGAAGCCACCCCATTTTGCTGCAAGCTCCAGGTAACTTCTCTATACCAAGGCTGGTGATGAGATTCGGAGCATGTGTAGCTTGCTTAAAGTTAATGTTTCTCTGAACAGAGGTCCATCAGAAAGTCTGTACTAAATCACAGGCAGTCCAGAGATACATGGTGGAATCCCTCACAGTGCTCCAGCAGTTTCCTTGGGCTGCAGGACTGTGGGAATTGATGCATACTTCATCTACAGTCTTGATGGTTCCATCCTTGTGTGTGATAGAACATAGATTTTCATTGGCGTCACCAGCAGACATGGCTTAAGCAGTCCTGGTCAGTTGGTTTAGGCAAAACATGACACAAAACCATCAGGCTTCCCTTTATTCCAAGGTAAGAAGAGCAAAACAAGTCTCCACAAGTATATGGAACAGCCAGCTGGGCTTAGAAACATGACAATCCCAAAGAGCAGCATACTCCCAGCAAGGAGATTCTAGACAGCTTATCACTTCCACCCAGCACCAAGGAGTCTTTACCTTTCTGCAGTCAATCTGTGTGATCAGGGTCCTTTTACTGCAGTCCTGATGTCTCAGGATAGACTGAACAGGAGAATCCCACTGGAAAGAATGGGCTGCTCTGATTTATCTGTCCTCAGGGGTAGCCTGGAGCTCTTATTCTCAAGTGAGAAGTGAAATGTTGACAGCATGACATGCCCTGAGAGATGTGATTTGCATCCCTGTTGCTGCCACGTGCAGTAAGGGTTGCTGGTGTAGCCACATGAATGGCACCTTGTTCTAAAGGTCTTGGGCTGGGGTGCTGGCTGCAGTTGAGTTTGATGTGATCAGCTCCATATGCACTGACACCTCTCTCCTTGTGCAGCTGGTGAAGCTATGCAGTGGGATGATCGAGGCAGGCAAAGCCTACATCACCACCAACAAGCACTTTGTCACTGGAGTCCGGGACTTGTCACAGCAGTGCAAGAAGGATGAGATGATTTCGGTAAGTGATCCTTTGGGATGGAGCCTGGGACACAGTGAGGCCTCGGGAGCGTTAACCTGCTGTGAGCATCAGGAGCATCAGCATTAAGTAGCCATTTAGTATGAGATTTTAGTTGTAGAGGAATGTAGAGGTAATGCAATGCTGAAAGGTCAGAGTGAGATTCATTGTTTGCAGTGAGATCTGGACTTTTAAGAAGCTGCAGTGCTGGTGAGGCTGCTGGAATCTAGGTCAGTAAGCATCAGTGACTTAGGAATGTGGGAACCAGTGTGCACAAGTGACAAGTGACATCTTCATTGCAGCACTGAACTGGAGAGGACAGGGAGTCTATGGCTTCAATGCCAGGCATTCTGAAATGCCTTCTTGCCAAACAGCAGGGTGGCTCTTTGGTGTAATGAGGGTGTCTCCCAGCCATTGAACCCCTGGCAATGAAGGGCAGCTGCTTCTATTCACTGCCAGTTTCTTCACCTTTCTTTGCAGGAGTGCCTTGACAAATTTGGAGACAGCCTGCAGGAAATGATTAACTACCACATGGTAAGATGCAGCTTCCTCTTGTCTTGTTGTGTGCTGATGACAACCTTTCTCAAGGCACTGATTATGGTCTCCTGAGCTTGGCTTACCTGACACTGCACAAAGGTGGGGTCCACAAAGGAAGTGTTTTCAGGTTCCAGTCTCTGCTCACTGTGTAGTCTTGAGAGCAGCAAAGGGCTGGGAGTTATTGTTGCCTTTTGCATCAGGATTGACTTGGATGAGCTGTGACTCTGTTACTCACAGTGATCCATCCTGATGCATCATGTATGCTAGGAAATGGGATTTCCATGGGTTGCAGAGAAGGTACCACTGAATGAAAGGGTATGTACTGCCACATGGTTGCCTTTTGGTTCATTTCAGATCAGAGATACACAGTGAATATGAAGAAGGGTGAAGTTAGAGACCCCTTCATCAAAGGAAGAGGAGAGCTTACAAAGGTCCCACACTCCATGTGCTTTGTTGTTTTTGGACAAAACAGGATTTTATAGTGAGGACAGAGAGGTCCTGAGGAGCTCAGACAGGCTCTTAGCAGCTTGCATGTACAACCATGTTGCTGCAGATCTGGAATATTCTCTGAAGCTTGGCATTCACATTTTTGACATTAGGACACCAGCAAGGCTGTGAATGGGTCAAACTGAAAGGATTGCTTTGTTCAGCTGATGCTGGGAGCAGACTCAGTGCATTTTGTGCAGCTCCATGGCTAAGGATAACACAGGACATATTAATGATACGCTGAGATAAAAGGAGGGAAGTGTCCAGACAATGCCTATTCTCCTGAGCTGACTTTATCTCACTAACAGAGCCCAAGAAGTTACAATCTGCCCTTTCTCCATCCCAAACATCCAGCCATGACATCTGTAAACCTCGTAGAAGAGGAAGGTGCTTCATGCTTGGTGGCTCCATGCCAGACCTACAATATTAAGTCTGTAACTCAGCTGGAGCTTAAAGCACAAATGCTGTAAAGCTTTAGGGTGCCAGCACTGCCCTGACCCACTTTTATACCACAGTGCCCCTGTCTAAGTACATTAGGCACGATGCTTGATTTTGGGATGCAAGTTAACCACATGTACCTGGAGAAAAAACTGCATCAAGTCCTTGTAATTATTTTATGAAGCAGGTGGGAAGGCTGTTTCCTAGTTAAGAACGACAGGGAAAGGAGGTAAAAAGTGGTGGTGGGGCTAGAGTGAACAAACCAGTGTGAGCATCAGAGAAAAGGTGTGTTTGTGTGAAAACAGAGAAAGTCAAACCCTGGTTTTCTGATGCTCTGAAAGCATAAGGCCTTTTGGCCAAGGTGCATAAGAACCCCTGAGCTCCTTCCTTCCAGGGATCATATCACAGCAGCACTGACAGGGGCTGAGCAGTGCGTGCAGCTCAGGCAGGAGAGAGCAGTCCCAGCCAGGAGCCTCTGGCTGCAGGATGCTGTCGGCTGTGCAGCTTCCCTGGATCCCCACCCTCTGCCAGAAGCAGCACTTCAGGGATTGCTGTTCTCTCAGCCAAGTAATAAGCAGAATGACCTTCCCAGAGCTGTCAAATCCCCGCTGGAATAACCCTTCCCATGCACCCCACCCTCTACACTCCCCGCTACATATGGCACATCCCTACCATGAGCTGCATACACAGGGGATACTTGCATCCTCCCTCCCCAGTGCATTTGGAGAGCACCCTCTTCCCTTGGTGCTCAGCAGTGTGAATCCCTCTCCAGGAAATGGCTTTGGAATGATGGCTGCATCTTGAGCCCTTTCCGACGGCTGTTCAGTTAATGGGGTTATTTTTAGTGCCTTCTGCTGTCTCCTTTGTGTGTGCTGTGTGCATGTGTGTGTATGTGTATCTTGGCTCATCCGTCTCTGGGGAGCTCAGCAATGAAACAGTTGTCAGTGCTTACTCCAGGAATGTGGCCAGGACAGTATGTACAACTGGAGCAAGTTAAAAAGAAGGGAAAATAGCCCCTAAAAATATTCAGTTGCAAAAGCTTATTCTATGATTTTATTGCTAGAACAATGAATGTTAGATCAGCAAAATCCAAGCTTGAAACCTGCTTGAATGTAGAAGATGAACACACTGAGCTCCAGACTTTTCCCACCTTATAATGCAGAGAGAGGAAAAAGCATCAAAGCAACCTTAGAGGAGAGATGACAAAGAGAAAGTTGAGTTTGGAAGAGCTGCAATCAGTGTCCTGTGCCTTTTGTGCTCTTAACCACATGCATGTGGGCTAATGCTCTTTCCCAGGTAGTTCTTTTTTTCTCTCTGACCAGAAAGAGAAGAAAAGTGAAAGGATGCGAGTGAAAGTGCTGTTGTGATGGGATCACTCTGGCCAAACCCCTTAAATGCATCTTCAGCATCATCTTCAGAAGCTGTAACAGGAACATTGCCCACATTAGTCCTACCCCAGCTTCGTTATGTCCTCAGCTGCCATAAATCGTTGCAGCTACGTCAGAGGGATCCTCCAGCAGGAGCAGCAGCAGCTTGCAGGGGAGATTTAGCTTTGCTGAGCGAGCCAGGAGGCATTTCCTGCTGACAAGGAGAAAAGCCACCCAAGCTGTGATGAGTCAGTGAGGCAGATGGCAGATGTCATGGGTGGAGGGTAGTGGTGGAGTGCAGGGGGAAGGAAGGAGGAAGTGAAAGTGGACAGGGTTTCCACAACCTGTTCTTCACAGGGTTGGGGGGACCACCTGCGTTATCTGACATCATTTGGGAAGGGTCCAGGGGCATCATTTGTGGATGCAGAATGACCAGCTGACAAGGGAGATGCTTTCTATCATCTCATGGCTTCATAGTTTTGGCTATTGTGCTCTAGTGCAGTGATGTTATACTAGTCTAACAGACTTCAGTGAGCTGCTGCTCTCGAAGTTTGGTACCAGTCTAGCAGTTACCACGAGCTCAGTGCTGCAGTTGGGGTTTCAGAAAGACCAGGTTTTGTCAGTGTCTGGAATATCTTAGGATGTCTCCTTTCTAGTTAGGGGACAGAATCAACTTCAGTTAACTTCTCAGGGGCAGGAACAAATGTCCTTTGACCTAAGCACAAACTGGAGCTCTTGAGCTTTTTGTGACCAACTCAACTTCAACATGGTTCAGAAGCTAAGCTTAGACTGTTGACATCTGATATGTGTGATAGGAGTACTCCTGTCATCTTGTTTTCCAGAGCACAAATCCTCAAGTGGGCTGTATTACAGAGGCATCACAGATGGAATGCTCTTCATGGGTGGCATTTATCTGGTGGGCCATTGCTCAAGAGATGAAGGACTGAATCATGTAGCCAGACAGCAATAAAAGTCATTTAAGCATCTCCTGCCAAACAGAGGATGTTTGAATTCTGCCTGGACCTCCTGCCCCTTGGGTTACTGTATTCAGCTGCTAGAAGCTGCAGTGAAAGAGAAACATCCTGTAGGAATATGAAGTCAGGGAAAAATGTACAGCATGCTGTCACTGTTGAGGTTTAGTTGTTTGACAAGTGCGGTGGTATTTGTATGCTCTTTCTAGAGCTGTGTCAGGCACACACTGGACAGATATGCCATAGAATGAGTGAGAACCCAGGTCTTGGATAGCCTCTTTGCAACTGTGCAGCAGGGCAGGTAGCTGAAGAGAAGAGGAAGAGGTGAGGTGAGACTTCCAAAGCCTAAAAGTGTTTGAGAAGGAGCCATCTTTGGGGAGCAGGGTGCCTGACAAGGTTATGGATGATCCTCTTCTGCAGACCAGGGAGGGGGTTACTTTTGTTCCCCAGCAGATGCTGAGAGGTAGCTGATGGAATCCCATGTGGGCAGTGCTGTAGCTGCCTCCTTCTCTCACAGACACGTTGCAGTGCCCCTGTTTTGGGACAGGATTCCTGAGAGCAGATAAAAGGATCAAGCTCTGACTCCCAGGCCACCAGACAACCAACCCTCATTTAAACTCAGCACAAACCAGTCCCCAGACTGTGTCAGGGGCGGTGGGAATGAGGCCTCCAGACTGGCCATAAGGGAGATAAGCACAGAGATGTGACTCATCCAGCTCATGGCTGCGTGGTGGAGCTGGACAAGGGGGAGCTGCTGCTGTCCATGTGTCAGGCAGCTGCAGAGGAAGCTCCACACCCTCTATGTCACATCTGGAGCTAGCTCTTGCAGGAGGGTTGATGTGCTTAATGAACTTCATCCCATCTCAGTATGGTTTTTAGTGCACTAATAGACCATAACGGCCTGACGCGCTTCACCTGGGGCCTCCATGCATCCCCTCCACCCATGGGTGGGCCCAGGCACATTTAAGCTCCACCCCAGGACCTTTAGTCTTGGCTTGAGCTGTGCTGTAGCAGCACAGGTCTCTAGCTCAGCTACAGCCATGCCCAACTTGATCTTGGTTCTTGGTGGAACCAGTCTACCATCTCTGAACCAGCCCTGTTTTCTTGCTGTGGTGGGGTGGAGCCTTGGCTGGTGAAGCCCATGTCCTGCCTGCTGCATTATCCCTCCTCAAGTCCTGATCCAAGGGCCTCTGCTGCTCCCAGCCAAAATCCCACTGCAAATGCTGTTCACAGACTCATAGTTAGGGCTGGAAAGGACCTTTAGATCATCCAGTTCTGTTGCCTGCTTTCAATCTCTACTCGAGCACTATTCCCATGTGCAGTGGTGGTGCCCTACTTCTGAGCTTCATGGATGTAAGTGCTGAGAGAAGCAGTTCACAGCCAGGTAATCTCACTTATTTTTAGCTTCTGCTTTGCTTTGGAGCCTGGTGGGATCTCTTCTCTTGTAAGCTCTTGTGGGACTGTAGCAATGGCATCCCTTTGTTCTCTCTGATGTATCTTGAATTTTAGGCTTGTGCTTTGAGAATTAATATCCTGGCTGCTCATCTTGCTTGCGTTTCTTGGGGGTATGAAATTCCTGTCAAACACAGGTTTGGATTTATCCTGTTGCCACAAAAGCCCATGGTGGGAAAGGGCAATGTAGGGCTTAGCCTTTTGCTGCTGGGTGAGAGCTGTGCTTAACTCCCTTCTTCCACGTTGACCCTCCTCAGGCCCAGATGTGTGTGAGTCATGGGCTGGGCTTCCCATGTCTTGGTGGAAGCTGAGAGGGTGGGGTGATATTTGGTCTGGAAAAATCTGACAACAAAGAGTTTGTTCCAAGTATGTCTGGGAAAGGGGAGGAATCCAAGGGATGACTTCAGGTTTGAAACTGTAGCTCTTGAAACTCCTTAATTTGTGTTGAAAATGGAATGGAGGACCCACCTCAACATATTCCCCTGGTGCTCCTGCCTGGCAAAATTAATGCAGAAGCAATCAAAGCAGTGCTGGTATCATAGGATGCTTCTCAGCAAAGATGCTGCTGGCAAGAAAGGCTTACTTATTACCTGGTATCCCTTCACAAACCACTTGGCAATCCTTGCCACATGTGAATCAATGCAGACTAGAAGGAAGGGCATCCTCACAGTAATTGGGCTCAGTGCATGGATAACAGGAGCAGGGGAGAAGAGTAATGACAGAGCAGGAGGTGGATGTATATGTGTATATATATATATGTATGTGTATATATATAGAGAGAGATATAGCCTAACTTCTTCATTTGTGCAGTTTTCCTGTTTGGATACAGACACATTTAAATTAAACTTCCCCATAGCAGTGTCCTCGTACCACAGGCCTAGGAATACTGCTTATGTGATCACCTCCATTCCCTCTCAGTAAGCAGCTTCAGTAAGAAGCATTACCCATAGGCCTCAAGCTGAGGAAGCCCAGTTCCTTTGATTTTTATGTATCCTGGAGTTTGTTCTTCCCTGGAATGTCCCAGGACACTTGTCTGCAGTCCTGAGTATGGCATAATGGTGTCCCTTCCTTTCCCTGATGGAAATGTGTCCTGATGGAAACCAATGATGGAAGCTTTCCAGATGTGGGTGCAGGTGGGAACCAGATGGCTTTCTTACTGCCTGCCTATCCTTGCATGGTATCAAGCGTTGCTTTGGGAAGCAGCTCCATGGGAACAGTTGCAGGCCAGTGCCTCTTGGAGTCTTGTTGGAGAGAGTGAATGGATGCCAAGAGCAGTAAATAATTTACACTGGTAAAAACACAACACTGGGTGGTCTTGGTTTTCTTTCCTTCCCCTTTGCATTGCATCTGTTCATATTTAGAGGCTCTTCATGGCTGTTTATACTCAGCTGGTCCTGGCAGGTCCCTTGCTTTCTCCTTGGCTGCAGCAATACACATGATGAGTGTGTTGGAGGCTCTGCAGCCAACGCTGCTGCTTCTATGCAGAGTGCTTTGCATTCTGCTTGGGGTGCTACATCTGGGCAGTGTCTGCTTACCTCCTAGCAGGAGGTGTTAGGTAGCGAGGATGTCTGTTCAGGCTGGGAATGCCAATGGCAGACTGGTTTGTGTTGGAAGGGACCTTAAAGCTCATCCAGCTTCAACCCCTGCCACAGGCAGGGACCCCTTCCACTGGAGCAGCTTGCTCCAAGCCCCTGTGTCCAACCTGGCCTTGAGCACTGCCAGGGATGGGGCAGCCACAGCTTCTCTGGGCAACCCAATCACCAGGGGGAAGGTGTTCTTAGTTCTGTTCTTTATCACACTATCCTCTTTTTAATTGGCAGTTAATTAAATCAGTATTCTCCAAGTTAAGTCTGTTTTGCCTGTGATTGTAATGTGAGAGATCTCCCTGTACGTACCTCAACCCATGAACTTTCTCATTTTGTTTTCTCCCTTGTCTTGCTGAGGAGGTGTAGTCAGTGCCTTGGTGGGTACCTGCGAGCCAGACGAGCTTCACCCACCACTTCCTCAGAAAAAGCTGCTGATTTAGGCAGTGCCAGCTCTTTTGCAGTGTAAAGACCCTGAGAGAAGAAACTCCTGCCCCTTGGATGATGTGTACTTCCTGCTGCAGTTGCTATGTGGTCTGGGAGCATCTGCCCATCTGGTCCCCATTAGCCAGAGTGCTGTGTCATCCCGATGCATGTCTGAAATATGGAGTTATTTGTGATCATGCCTGTCAGAGATGGATGGGAGGGAGCCGAGCAGGCACCACTGTTCGGCATCAGGCAGAGGGTAGGGGAAGAGCATCTTTTAAAGGAAGGTGGGGAGGGCTGGAGAAGAGATGGGCAGAGAGTGTAGAGTAATGAAAGGGCTTGGGACCATTGTTTTTGTGAAGGATAAATAGGAGAGTAAAATGTAAAAGACTCGTAAGAACTCGGTCTCTCTTTATACCATGTGCTTGGACCTCTGATGTTCACCAGCATGCTGCTGGCGGGGATGTACCGTCAGCGGCGGTTCCTGTGGCTAGCCCTAAGCGGTGCAGTGCTGAGATGACAGTGCCCTCCTCTGGCAGAACGAGGAATTCCAGACAGGAGGCGGTTCAAAGCGGAGACTATGGGTGCAACTGCTCCCTCTTATGTTGATGGCACAGGTCTCTGCTATTCAGAGCCTTGGCACAGGCTGTGGATCCTGCAGCACGGGGATTCTGTGCTTGTAAGGGAGTGCTGAACACCACCAAGCCCTGGAGTAATGCTGAGTCCTTCACACTGAAGCTCCTGAAGTGTGCTCATGGATTTTCTGGCTCCTCAGTCTTTCCTGTTACAAAACCATTTGATGTTCTCTGCCTTCTCTTCTCTTGCAGATCCTCTTTGACCAGGCTCAGAGGTCAGTCCGGCAGCAGCTGCACAATTTTGTCAAAGAGTGAGTACTTGGCCCATCAGTTTGGGCTTCAGCTTCTTGAGCTTCCATTGCCCCTGTCCTGTGTGCACTGGAAACAGGACTGTGACCTCTGCACAAGTGCTGAAGCTTGGGGCAGAAGAGACACTGAAGGGCAGAGGAAAGGATCTGGTTTGTGTGCTGTCATCTTGCAATCATTTGGTTGCTGTGTTGTCACCCAGATGTCTTTGTCCTGTTCCCAGCTCCTAGTTAAAGCTGGATATTGGGCATAGCTCCAGATCAGAGCATCATCATGAAGTTCACCTGCAAAACTGATCCTCTAGGTCAGACGTATCCCACAGTTCAGATCCCTGCAGAGTAGCACCAGTTCTATATCTTAGTTATGTTCAGTGCAGAGTTTCCTTAGTGCAAGCTTGCAGAAGGAAGGAACTTTGCTCCCAAATGACTCTGTGGTCCCGTAGAATCATTCTGTTCTTAGCTCCCCATGCATCGTGTTTAGTTGCTCAAAATTACAGCAGCCCTGCTCTTCTGGAGTAACCTGAGCACTTGTCAGATGACGGGAAAGCCTTTCTTTCTGTAGAGGGAGCAGCTATCATCACTGTGCCTTCAGCTTGGAGCTTGAGTTATTTGCTAATGAAAAGCAAGTTTACAGTGGTGTGAGTAATACAGAGTATTGGTATTAAGGATGTTGACTTGCACGTGGCAAGGCTGAGGTGCAGAAGAAGTGGGCCCAGGTTGTTAAATGGATGGGGACAGTGTGTTCCTTGGATCATGGCTCCTGCCAGGCTGTCCCTGCCGCATTGACTTGCTTCCTCTGAGTGCCTCTTTCCCTGGGGCAGGTACCGGGTGCAGCAGAGATCCCAGTGTGTGAATATGGGTCAGAGAGGCAGGAGAGGCTTCAGCTCAGCAGGAGCTGGTTGCCATGGGAACTGGGAATTGTGCATCCCTCGGCAGCTGGGTGTGTTGGTGGAGGAGGGAGTCACTGCCTGACCCCCCCCTCCTTCCTCATCCCCATCTTCTTGCCTCGTGCTCACCCTACCCCTGCTTTCTCTATAATCATTTCTCTGATGAGCTCAGATTTAATCTGCTTAAGGCTGGCAGTCAGGAGGGGGATTTTCACCTTCCTTTTGGGTCTGTCATCCTCCCAGCATCTTTGCAACTTACTCTTTTTTTGCTCTTATACTGCTCAACCTCTGTGCTTGCAGGCCCGGTGCTTTGATGCCTGCATTGCTCTTGCCCTTGGTCCAATATCTTTCCTTACAAACTCTGTAAAGATTAAAGACTGTCTGGAGTTAATCTGGAGTCAGTCCAGCTGAACACAGGGGAGCTTGGTGGGCTGGGTTAGGATCCCAATGGCATGTGGAGCAGGATCTTGATGATCACAGTGTACCTGATTGCACCCCTCCATATATTGCTGGTATCAGCAAGATCCTGGTTGCTTTTTAGCAATGATTCTCACCACCTCATCTTCTCTGGGTTCCAGTGATGTCCGGAAGTTCAAGGAAACCAAGAAGCAGTTTGACAAGGTGCGGGAGGACATGGAGATTTCCCTGGTGAAGAATGCCCAGGCACCTCGGCACAAGCCCCATGAAGTGGAGGAAGCAACAGGCACCTTGACCATAACCAGAAAGTGTTTCCGACATCTGGCTCTAGACTATGTGTTGCAGGTTGGTGTCTGACCGGATCTCCTAGTCCAGGGCAAGACATCAGAGGGAAATAGCTAAACAATCTCCTGGACCACTATGAGTACAAGTACACACATCTTTACATGTACACAGACCCAGATGTTTGCCCTTAAGGACATGTTCTACATGTAGGAGCATGCAGAGAACACTTGACAGTATTGTGTTTGGTCCCTCACTTTCAGTAGTTTCATGACACTGTTTGCCAGCCTCTCTGGAGAGTTATAAAGATCAAAGCAGCTAATGACATGCGGAAGAGCCTCCCCTCTCTTACACCACTTATGACATCCTTTGGCTGTTCCAAGCAGATGTGATCAGCTACAGAACTCACAGCCCCACCAGTGAAGGTCCTTTCATCCCATCACAGCTTGCTCTTTATGTCATAAAGACAGGCTGGGTTATGCCTCAAGGCAGCTCAAAGAACCTTGGGACCTACTGCAGCACAGGGCTTTGCTGTCCTTGAATAGTTTGTGGTTTGCTACTAGGGGTATTGCAGCAAGTTGTTCATACTTAGATCTCCGTGCCAGACTGATGCTGCTGGTTCTGAGAGTCTTCTCTTCATTCCTTCACAGATCAACGTCCTGCAGGCCAAGAAGAAGTTTGAGATCCTGGATGCGGTAAGGGCTCTCTGTGTTCTCTGTGGCTGCTCTCAGTGACTCAATGAAAGGCAGCCCTCTCCATTTCAGGTTGCATGGGTCGACATACCGACTCCTCAGTCTGCCCTGGAGATGCTGTCTGGGACTGCTCTGGGGGCTGCAGGTATGCCAACAAGAGGGGAGAATGAAGGACCAGCAAGATACTCCACAGGCCAGGCTTAGAGGGGACTTTCAGGGGTGAAGGACACTGCTTTTAGTGCTTTGTGCTCACAACAGGGTTACCTGACAGTGTGGATTTGTGAGAGGAAGAAAGGAGAAGAGGGAGAGGCATCTAATAGATAGATTGCTTTGGGAAAGGAAAGGTTTAGACCTTGAAAAGACTTGTGTGTGGGTGATAAGGATACTCACTTTGTCCCAGAACCTGTTCTGACCTTGCTGTTGTTTCCCTCCCCAGATGCTGTCCTTCATGCATGCCCAGTACACCTTCTTCCAGCAGGGCTACAGTCTTCTCCATGAACTGGATCCCTACATGAAGAAACTAGCCACAGAGGTGAGGGGACAGGGAATACATTGATTCAATCTGTTTGTACCCCTTCACCCTGGAAGGACTTACTCTTTCCTATTCAGCTGCCATACGTGGTAATCTGGGAGTGGTCAGAGCATCATGCTGCTTGGGTGTTGGATGAGCCATCCTGCACTATGGGGTGGCAGCCAAGAGCCATGGTTACTTTCAGTGCACACCCAAACACAGCCTTTCCCTGCTTCTGGGGACTTATGGTGTTAGAGCTGATGTGATCCCGAAGCAGGGATAGACAGCAGCTTGTAAACCTTCTTGACTTTTATACCTGATGTTCTCCCTGCCTTTAGCTGGACCAGCTGGTGATTGATTCTGCAGTGGAGAAGAGGGAGATGGAGCACAAGCATGCACTGATACAGCAGAGGGTGAGTCTTTGGGCTGCAGCTTGGTGCAAGCAGCACTTGTTTCCATCAGTGTGGTTCTCTGGATCACAGTGGCAACTGCCATCTGATGAGGGGTCTTGATGGGCTAGTTCTTCACAGCAGTAGCATTTGTGACATGACATGGCTACAGCCTTGAGCAGCATGACTTTGGAAAGCTCTATTCCATGGGGACTCAAGGAACAGAGCTGCTGTGGCTGAGCAAGGGGTTGTTCTCAGCTGAGCTATGCTACCCCACTGTGTGTCTTCTCACCTGCTGTAACTGGAATTAACCACCATGAACTAACAAAACAATAGGATTTATTATCAAACAAGTCTGAGCCTTCAGTAAGGAGGCATCTGTGGTTAATGTGGGCTCTGATTTTCTGACCATTTATCTGGGAATGATCCCAAATCTGAAGTTTGCAGAAACATAACTATTGTTTTTTCCTTTTTCTTCTCTCCATGGATTGCTGACCTGCCCCTGCAGACCCTCCTGCAGGTGAGTACCCATATGTATTTCCTTCTTCTGTGCTAAAACAAGATTCCCATCCCATTTACTCTGTGGTGGCCAGTCTTGACTCAGAGCTCAGTATTGCAGTGGCAGCAGTACTTGGCTGGCACTTAACGCATGTTTGGTACTTAAGGAGCCTTTGAGGACCATGGTCTGGTGGGAGGTGAACTGGATGCACAGGCTCATAACAGAAGCTGATGGTGGACTTTAAACATACACGTTCATGCTCTGTGGGCACAGTAAGAGTGGATTTCGGAGAGCCCTGAGGAATAGCTGTTCATGAACCAAGCTCTGAGCAGGAACCACTAATGAATCTGTATCTGTCAGGCACTTGTGTGGATCAATAACTGTCAGCAACAGGAGTGTAAGTGGCTGTTGTTTTCTTTCTAATGCTCTCTCAAAAATGTCATAACCCATGAGATGGAAATGTAACCGGATTTGAAAGCTAATGACAGACATTCCCTGTGAATCAGCCTGTGCAAATGCTCCCTTAGGTTAAGTGTTCCGAGGGAGGGGTAAAGCCATTTGTGATCTCTCAGCTCCCCTGGGACTTTGCTGGAGTGATGACTTCATTCAAGGGAACATGGAAAATCTCTCTAGTGTAGTGCATCAGTTAAATCTCTTTATGTGGCTTTGACTGGACTAGCAGGGAATGAAGCAGAGGTCAGGCTCCAAGAGGGAAAAGAGCAATTAGTCTTCATCAGGGTACATATGCATAGAGCTGTGACTCTCTGTGTGCATAAGCTTGGAGGAGAGCTGAACATCCCTACTGCTATTTAGGATTTAAAGCTTCCTGCCTGGAAATGTTAGGCTGCTTTTGAGCTACCCTGAGTCACTGTTGCTCCCCCCTTTGCAATGGAGCATGGCACTCTGCAGCTGGTGAGCATCTCACACACAGTTGAATCTGTCTTCATGCTGAGCCCAGAACACTGTCTGGTCTCTTGGAGATTTAGTTGTGCTTAATTGAAGTGTGGTGGCAGAAATATCCATTTTTCCTCAACACAGGGATTTCCCAGGCAGCCTGCTAAGGCAGGACAGGAAAGGAGGGAATCCAGGTTAAACATAATACCTTTGGAACTGTTCTTGGGGAGGGGATGCTGTGCAGATTCTGAAGACAGGGAGTTAAACTGTCCTTGGGCAGCTTTGTGAGGCCTGGAGGGCAGCCTCCTAAGAACCAAATTCACAAGGAAGGGGGGTGTTGCGTTTTATTTAATTACTCTTTCAATTAAATTTACTAGGAAAGAAAAACTCAGCACAAATCTTGACTATTTCCTTCGATACTCTCATTTTGATGCCTTTTTCCTATGCCAGTCTTTCCCCCTCTTCGCTAATGGAACATCTGCCACCTTCAGGGCAGTTTCCTAGGACAGATGTCAGTTCAAGCTGTCATTTTAAGTGCTGCCCAGCTCCAAAACCTTAAAGATCTCCATTTGCAGCTTCACACTTCATATGAAATAATGCTCACTTATACAAAAGTGTTCTAATAAATCAGCAAGAGGAAAAGAAGAGCCTCAGTCTTTATGAGCTACATTAAATATTTGAGTTCTCCTCTTGTTGTGCAAAGGGAGAGGATCTTCAGCATGAAGATGCCTTTCTTCAGCCTGTGTGTGGGATGTCTGTGTGCAAGGACATTTCTGCAAAGGCTGAGGAAATAGTCCTGTAGCTTCCCACATTTCTCTTGTGTCTTAAACTAAACTGTCTTAAACCACATGTGTAATGAGCTTATACATTTTTATGTGGGTTTAGTTGCTTTAAATGGATGCACAAAGACATGCAGAACCTGGTGTAGGTTGGACCACTCAGGAGACAAAAATCTGGAGGGTTTAGCACTGGAACACAGTTTTTCCCAGTGGGAAATGGGTAGAGAAATGGTAACATATAAAGCTGTCCTGCCTTGCAGATTCTGAACCCTATCACTGCACCACAGCTGAGAGTGGAAGAGGACAGGGCTCTATAAAAGCTCCTTTGCATCCTCACACCTATTCCGTGGTCTGGCGTAGTGAGGAAGCAATTGTGCTTCTGTTGCCCTTTTGCATGGGGTGGATGCAGTGCCAAGGCAGAGCTCTCTGCCTCATTTAGTCCAGCTGGTAGATAACAAACCAGGGGCCATATGGCACTTCAGCACCCTGATTTCTGTGGAGCTGGGATGGAATTGCTGGCCAAAGAGTGGCTCTGCTCCAGGAAGCTGGGGGAAGCAGCCCCTGCTAAAGGCAGACAAGCCTGGCTCTGTTCAGGTCAGGGAGGCATTCGGTGAGCATCTTCCTGTCAACTTTGCTCTGTGTTGCCTGGCTTCTCCTGCTCCCTCTGTGCCTCTGTGGCAGCTGTATGATAATCAGCCCTTGCTCTAAGCTGATTGCCAGTGAATAGAGGCGAGGAGGGGGTAGGCAGGTGGTCCCCAGGGGCTAGCAGACTTCCTTTGCCTGGTGCCCCTTGCTTTGACAGGAGCCAGTGGCAGAGCTTACAGCTTCCCAAAAAGGAGTAGGAGGGGTAAAGGAGAAAGGGCTGAAAAAGAAATCCCTCCTTCCCTGTCAGCCCACGGTGCTTAGCAGAGATGCTGCTCTAGAGAGCGAAGAGAGAGGACACACAGAGCTGCTCCCTGCTCTCTAGGCAAGAGCAGCAAAACCTCCCTTGGAGCTGGCAGCATGAAGATCTTCAGCAGACTTGAATACCTCCTGGTAAGGAGACTGCTGCAGGGTTGGCTTGACTTGGGGAGGAAGTTTAGAGGGCACTTTTCCCTGGGGGAGCAAGGATTGTGCCTGTAGGACAGTGCTTGCTGACCCGAAAGCTTTATTACTGCAGGAGAGCAAATGTGTTTGGTTCTGTTTTGGGTTGGAAATGCTCTGGGGCAGGGCACAGATCTCTGTGCATCATTTGGCATTAGGAAATTCAAGAAGCAAAAGGTCTGTAAATGGGATTTGGCCAGAATGGATCAAAGCTGTCTGCACAGAATGGGAGTGGAGGTGGTGGAGCCCTCCTCCAAATTCCATCTGCCTCTGAGTGTCTTGGGTTCTACACAGTGTATACACAGAGGTAAAAATAGCCAGAGAAAAGCTTGAAATATATTCAGGCACCAGAAGTGAACAGAATGTGCGTGCCCCAGTGTTTGTGTGGGAGAGGGTGTGAGCATCTTTAAGGTATGTAATGTATTCAATATAAGAGAAGATAATTCAGTCTTCTCTTTAGAATCAAATAGTCAAACTAGTCACATACAGTTTTTAACTCGCCTCCAGGAGAAGATCTTTTCAATGCATGGGTGGATACATGATGTTGTTAGAGTGTGCTTAATATTATTGTTCAATACTCAGCATCATTGGTTACTTAAGAGGGCAGTTTTGGGTAAAAGCCTGTCTTCTATGAGGAGCAGTGTGTATTGCATGTGTTGTGCTTATCCTAAATGGTATTGATTGAATCTAAAATAACATGGAGGTTTGATAGTAAGATACATTTCTGCCTACCTGGACTGAACTGATTCACTGGTCAGGATTGCCTAGTTGCGATAGTGTTTTCTATGAGCAGAAATCAGAACATTGTACAGAAAAGGGCAGTGTCATTATTTCCATGTTGAACTGGTACACTGAGGGAGTGATGCTGTGGCTTTTCAGGTAGGGCCATTGCCGTAGTGGATGCATTTTAAAGAGGTTTGAGAAAGTTTTGGTATTTTAGAGAGAGGTTTTGTGTGCTCTTACCCAGATTGGGATAGGAATGGATTTATAAACCAGACCTTCCTCCTCCCATGGTGCTTAGGCAGTGCTCCTTACCCAGAACAGGATTCCAGGGTGATGAGGGGCATCTTCTCTCTTCATAATAAATCTGCTCTCTGAACCTGAGGGCTGTTTAATTTCATCAGCCATTTTCTCTGCCCAAAATGCTTCACAGGAGCAATGGGAAGAGCTTGTCTGGCCTCTGCAGTGCAAGCGTGTGTGGAGATGGGCAGGGAGTTCTTAACCGAGTGGTCTGTGAAGCAGCCTTCAAATAGGGGTTTTCTTGTTTCTTCTTCCATGGGTCTGTCTGTGCCTGTGCTGGGCTTTTCCTTTCCGTTTTCTGGGTTGAAAGCATCCACATTAATGTCCTTTTCCACATCCCAATGGATGTGTCTCTTGGAATGTGTTACTTCATTGTTGCCTCAGCAGCATTTGGCATGCTCCCCTTGAAACCATTGCGAGATCATGTCCAGAAGAATAGCAGTTCCCAGGCAGCCCTGTGTGTAAACTTGGAGTGACAGGCCCGGGAAGGGAAGGGGACAGTGAGACAAGGTTGCTGTGATCCACTGGAAGGGAAGCAGATGATGGCAGAGATCTGGTTTCTCATTCTGGAAGACATCCCATTTATTACACCAATGTGTGATCCAACATGTCACTGCTGTTGCTAAACATGCTGTAGCCAAAGCCATCCACATCCCAATCCCAGGCAGCCTTTTCCATGTCAAGTGTTCTCCCTGTTACAGAGACAATGAGGTGCTAAATACAGACTTAATAAATCAGTCCAAACTCATGTAGAGCTGACTTGCCTACTCTGTGTACACTACAGTGATGGGAAGGATTCAGGAAAAGGTAGTTTATTAAAATCCTGCATTAAAAACTCATGTATGGCAGGGAATGGAAAAAGAGGGGACAAGACAAAGCCTATGTGTGTCCTCTCCTACCCTGCTGTAGCCACTTCAACACCATTGGCAAGATGATCTCCTCACACAGTTTCTAAGCTAGCTTTGGCCTGGAATTGGGTGTCAACACATGTTCTTTATTTCCAGAAGTCTGTCCTCTCATCACAACCACTGATAGGGAAGTTCCCTGCATGGGCTGCAGCAGGAAGATGTGCTCAGGAATCCAGTGTTTAAGCCCATAGTTTAAGCTTGTTCTGGTGGGCTGGAAGTTTCACAGTTTCCCTTGCTATGATTTTGCCTTTCAGCTGCCTGAGCTGCCTCTGTACATCTCCCTTTTGGCCTTGGCCTGAGAAAGGAAAGGAAAGGAAAGAAGAAAGGAAAACTGCTTCTGATTAAGGGAATAACTGCTAGATTTCTTTCACTCTCCCCCCCCCTTCAATAACTTACTAGCAAAGGCTTTAGGTCCTTCCAAGCAGAGTGTAATGAAATGAAACAAAGTGCCTCTGAGGATCAGACTGCCACAAGCCTCAGGGATAAGAAGCAGACAGGTCCTTATCCCTTGGATCTCTCCCTTGATTTCTACCTACTTTACAAATCCAGCTTACAGCTCTGGTCAATGTGTTGTGCCCTCAACTGCCCTTCAGTACTTACTGTTGAGAGCAGTGGAGTTGCTCAGGAGTTACACCAGCAGACACATGAGCAGAGTTTGGCCTGGGGATGTTTCCTGACCAATGAGAGAACAAGGAAGAGAAATAGCTTCAAAGTAATGTGAACACAAGCCATTCTTCCCAGCAGTGTTTCTGTGTTTGGCCATCATCCAGATGCCTCTCTGTCATCTTAGCTATGCACGTGCTTGGTGGTTTGTGTATGATTTCCTATAACTGGGCTTGATGCATGTTAAGGTCCTTCCCAAGGTAAGGAACAACTCGATGTGCCTTCAGATGTTCTGCTGTAGCCATTTACTTTGTAGAGGTGTAATACAATACAGACTCAATGAGGTTAACTTCACACCTGGCTTGACTCCACTGGTTTGTAGTGGATTTACTCTAGTGACGCATATGGCCCATCTGTTTCCTCTGCACTCATCAGCAGTCTGTCCTTACCATCACACTGCTTGAGTAGATGAGGACAGCTGAGGAAGTCAGGTGTTTTTATGTAGATCCCCCCCCCCCCTTATTTTCACGTCTTTACAAAGTAAGGCACAGCTTAAGAAGGTCATTTTAAGAAGGGTTTTGCCCTACACTTGCTGTGTGTTTTTCAGCAAGGCCCAGGGTTTTTGACTGTTTGCATTATTTATTACACATCTCTCATCAAATGTATAGAATTGTCACTTTGGAGCAGCCCTATAAAAATCCCATGTTCAAATACCTACGAGTTAGAGGAAAATTCCCTCTGGGCTCTCTTTGCAGCGTGTACATGAAAGACATCTGCAGAGGAGGACCCCCCCTGGGATTCACCCTCTTCCAGCAAAGAAATTTAGGGCTGAGCAGAACTCTTAATTGGGTGCCTTACAGCAGTTTCTAGTGTGTAATTGGGCATCCTGCTGGCTTTCCAGGGAATGACTCAGTCCTGTCCCATTACATCTCCTTCTGTATCAGCTTTATTCTTACTATGACACCTCCCAGGCAAGCTTGCATCTCTGAGCATGAAAATAACTCATCTTAATGAGAGTGAAGTGCATGTTGCTTAGCAACACAGCATCACTGGGGTCTTCTGTGCTGAGCTAGGAAAGGTACTTAACGGGGCTGTTTTCACTGCACTGTTGTGTCTTTGGACCACAAAGTATGGGGGGAATATTTGCACTCAACAGAGAGGGAGCTGTGGGTAGAATGAACCACTGGAGTGGGATCAGTGTGCAAACAGACAGTGTGCCTTCGTTCCCCAGGTTAGAGGGGAAAGTCATTTGGCTTTCCTGACCTAGTTTCCCTTGGGAAGGAGGCAGACCGTGGCCCAGGGAGCAGGATGCTGTGTTTTGTGAGAGCAGCTGCTATTCTCTGTGCTCTGTGTCTTGCTCAGCAGCTGTCAGAATCCATGAGATCTGCCTGATGAATCAGTGCCAAACCTGACAAATCAGCTCTGACTGGTAGCAAAGCATAGAGAATTGAATGAGCACAGATTGGAGATGGCACATGATGATAGCTAAGGAAAAGGGAATTGATAAGTCTTCCTTCCAGAAATCACCATGCCTGTTTTCCCTGTGTGAAAAGGGGTTTGTTCTGTTCCTGGCCATTTGCAGAACAGAGAAGTGGCAGAAGAACTGCTAATTCAGCTAGTGAAAAGCACTTCTATTGCTATATTTCCCATTTCAAACTGCCCCAAATACTGGGAATTTTTAGCCCTCACTATTATGAGCAACCTGCCTTTCTCCTCATGAGCTACCAGAGCAGAGAAATACAGCATGTATTTGCTTTAGGCAAAAAATAGGGTCACATAAGCTTACTGGAATGAGAATAGCTCGTGACTGCTATTCATGGCTGCAGCCCACTAAAGCATAGGGATATGGTGTGGCAGACAGCTCTGCCTGAACCTTAGGATTTTACATAGATGTTTTTCTCTTCTTCATCTTTTTACTGAGCTCATCTTCATCTTGGTCCTGCAGAGTGCAGTCCTGTTAGAGTCTCAGTCTCCTTCTGTTTGCAGGACTTCTCCTATGATGACTCGAAGGTGGAGTTTAATGTTGATGCCCCAAATGGAGTGGTGATGGAAGGCTACCTCTTCAAGAGAGCTAGCAATGCTTTCAAAACATGGAATCGGTGAGTAATAACTCATATTCCATTTGATATTTGGGCTGAGACTTTTGAACACAACTAATACTGCCTGCAGAGGAGCACTCTTCACTTCTAGGAGCATCATAACAACTGTTGTTACCACTGGAAAGATTCTAAGCTGTATATTCCTCTTGAGGCTGCATCATAGAATGAGCCAGCTCATGTTCTGCATCTTAGTAAATGCCAGGGAATTAAAACCCCAGGAGTGCTTCCTACAATGGAAGAATGACCAGGTTCCATGCAGGGAAGATAAGGCACAGTCAGCTCAGGTCTTGCCCTAGGAAAGCTATGCATGTATAACAACTAAGAGAAATACCCTAACACAGCAAGACATGCCATGAGAATCAAACCTGTCTCTTCTGAAACAGGGAGATACGTGAGAGTGGAGACACCAACTGTGCTGCTGGGAGCTGGGAACTGGCTTTCAGTGCCCTGATCCTGCTCTTAATAATCCAAAGTGTTTCATCATTGGGAATGCCATGTGCTGCCTGCACTAGTCAGGAGTGTCTGCAGCTGCCAGAGACCTTGGGGAAGTGGAAGCAAAGATTTCATGTTCTAGCCTCAGTTGGTATTTATGTGTTTAGCTTCCCTTGAGAGAGTCAATGGGTTTCATACATGGCTGTGCAAAAGGATTCAAGCCCTTCCCATGAGTTTCTAATGCACGAGATCAATGCCTTTTTGACCTACATTTCCTGCTCTCACATAACAGGGACATGATACAATATTAATAAGTCTTTTACTTGCCTATGAGGTACATTCAGAGTATGTTGGGTTAATAACCAGACCTGTGCTTGACTTTTGTGATAGAGAGGAATGGTTCCTCCCTGTATCCTCCTACATCCCAGTCATACACAGTCTGTAGCCTCCCCACAGCCATCTCTGTCTCCTCAGACCCACCCACTCTTACCCATATCTGCCTGCATCTGAGCTATTCACGGCTCCTGCAGCCCACTCATCACCTTCTCACTGTCACTTAGCTACTCAGTGTTTGTGCCTCCCCCTCCTGTGAGCAGGAGGAGGCAGGAGAAAAGAACAGCAAAATCCACAGTTTGGGATATTGGGCTGGGAGCCAGCACCAGGCAGAAATACACGCTCTGGTGTGGCCTCCAAGTACCTGTATTTTCCCATTTCTCCCCAAACGTGTCAAATCCTTTTGTTGTCTTTTATCTGTTTAATATTTCAGCAGTGGCAGAGAGAACCCTGTCTCATCTCATTTTCCCAGGGAGCCTAGTTCATTTGCAAACAGAATGTGTAGTACATGCCCTAGATAACACCCTGCTGCAAGCCTCTGACTCTCTATGCTCAGGTATTCCAGTACCTTCTTCCTAAAGCTTAGAGATGGTGATGGTTTCCATTGCCCTCCATGAAGGTTTGCTACATTTTAGGCTGTATCTTGGAATGAGGAAATGACCTGGGGGTTTGGATTAAGACACCAGAGAATTATCTCTGCTGTCAGCATCACATGGACCTTCTGTCGCTTGTATTTTAATGGAAAGCTGCTAGCTGGTGATTTGTTTCCTCCTAAGAAGGTAGACTTCCTTCACACATACCTGCCTGTAGAGGAAACAGGAGCTTTGGCACTGTTTGACCAGCTTCCACAGTAAATGTCAATGTACCCACTGAGCACATATGGAAGTATGCCCTAACCAGTGCAATGTGTCTCACAGGCACTGGATTTACTGCCTGCCCCAGTGTGCAAACAGAAATCATAGGGAGTAACGTGGGACTGCCCTACTCCTCTGTTTCTCCCTGTCTTTCCTTCCTTCTTGCTATCCACTGATGTATCTAGAACAGTTGCCATCATAGCATCCTGATGCCAGGAGTCATTCCCTAAGGCTGGAAACCCTTTCTCGTTCTCTGAGGGAGGGCACTGGAGAAGTGTGAGCTCTTCTTGTGATGTTACTTTCCAGCTCCTTGAGATAAATCACACCCTTAAGATGGAGAGATACCTGCTCTGGCAGAACAACCTGCTAGTACTGTTCAATTCTGATGTCTGTCTGTCTGTCTTCCCTCAGGAGGTGGTTCTCCATACAGAACAGTCAGCTGGTGTACCAGAAAAAGCTAAAGGTCAGTGAGGCTGCCCCAGATGACACTGGCAGATTAGCCAGCTTGTCTGGTATCCTGCTTTGCTGAGGACTTCCAACCATGGAGGGGGAGTGGAGTGGAAGGAGTGGGGAGGGGAATTGCATCAGAGGGATGGGAAGCCTCTTCAGGCATTTCATGCTCCAGAGTTAGACTGTGCTGAGATCTCAGTGGCAGCAGATGGTGTATGTGGCATCCTAAATACCCCTGTCAGCAGAGGAAGTTGAAGTCCCCACTAAGCCTGCTGCTTCAGGTGCATGTTGTCCCATTCTGTGTAACCCCTTCCTATTGCCCTGGAGTTATGCAGTGGTGGGCTGGCTCTGCTCTTCTGGACTCAGCATGTGCTAAGCCAGCAGGATTTGGGAAGGAGTTTTCTGAGAGGCCTGATTGTGTCCTACACAGATTGAGGGAGCCAACAAAGCCACCTCTTCTCACCCTTTCAGGATGTCCTCACAGTCGTGGTGGAAGACCTGCGGCTCTGTACTGTCAAGCCATGTGAAGACATCGAGAGGAGGTTTTGCTTTGAGGTCGTCTCACCTACCAAGTAAGTCTATGGCATGGCTGTGCTGAGGAGGTGGAACCCTGTCCTTTTTCCCTTTCCAACTCATTTCCTTCCTTCCCAGGAGCTGCATGCTGCAGGCTGACTCGGAGAAGCTGCGTCAGGCCTGGATCCAGGCTGTGCAAGCGAGCATCGCTTCTGCTTACCGGGAGAGTCCTGACAGCTACTATATTGAAGTGAGTGAGAGGGTCATGAAAGATCCATAGTTGTACCTCAGAACCCTGATAGTGCCCTTTTGGGCTGTGGCAGGTCCCGTGTGTCTATGGGGACTGTTGGGAAATACTTCTGCCCTCAAGGAAGGGAGCTGATGTCAGCATGAACTCAAAGGCAACGGTTATTTACCAGGAAAGCCAAGCTTGTAAAGCTGGTCTGGGGGAAAGGCAAGGCTTTAAATCAGTGTCCTGACATCTTCACTTTCTTGCCATCACTGTGGATTGATGTTCCCCTAGGAATTATGTTCCCCTGGGAAGAGCTTGCTCCCTAGCTGGGACAAGTGCAAGCAATGCACAGTGACAGCAGGGGTTTGCATGCTGCCATAGCAGAGATGGGGTAATAATAGACATTAATGAGGCTTTACCTGTTCCTTTCCTGGACTGGCCTTAGTTTGTTCTTCAGGTAATGCTTCCTATCAGTGCCTCTGCTATGCAAAGGTCTGGTTTGTTCCAGTCCTCTGCAGAATCCTAGATCCCTTTTTTCCCTGCAGAGACTGGACCGGACTGCTTCCCCATCAACCAGCAGCATTGATTCCGCTACCGACTCCCGGGAGCGCAGTGTGAAAGGAGAATCCATCCTACAGAGAGTGCAGAGCATTCCTGGGAATGACCAGTGCTGTGACTGTGGTCAGCCAGATCCTCGCTGGGCCAGTATCAACCTGGGCATTCTGCTGTGCATCGAGTGCTCTGGGATCCACAGGTACTGTGGGCATGTGTGCTGCCAGACAGGCATGGATTACAAGCTCCTGGAAAGACAGTGGAGCCTGAATTATAACTGATCATAATGTTGGTACAGATAGATCCAGAAGTGATGCACATCTGTGTATGCATATGCATAAAACTCTGCTATAACTAAATCTGCATAGATAAATACATCAGAACTGGATTGATCTTGTTCATCTTATGATGCATGGGAAGTTCTGTTTTGAGGCCATTTCAGTTTTCTTCCTTTTGGATAAATAGGAGCCTGGGTGTTCACTGCTCCAAGGTCCGATCTCTCACACTGGACTCCTGGGAGCCAGAGCTGCTGAAGGTGAGTGTTGGATTTTAACAAGAGATAGATAAATGGTGGACATGGAGGGAGACTTACTTGGTGGCAAGCTAGATTAGAGGGAATTTAGCTCCTCATCTGAGGATTTCATTCATTCCCTGTTCTATTGCAGCTGATGTGTGAGCTGGGGAACAGCACCATGAATCAGATCTATGAGGCACAGTGTGAAGAGTTGGGTCTTAAGAAGCCAACATCAGGGAGCTCCAGGTGAGTCCAGTCCCTCTGTTTCTAGCCTGAGCTTCACTCTCAGAAAGGTCAGTGGGACATTACCATTACTGAAACGTACTTGGGAACCAGGGCTTGCTGGGTTTCCCCTTGGTCTGAGACCATGCAAACACATGTACTGAAGCATGTGGCGTTGCCTTTAGAATCACAGAATAGTTATGGTCGGGAAGGACCTTAAGCTCATCCAGTTCCAGCCCCGTACCATGGGCAGGGACACCTCACACTGGACCATGTCACCCAAGGCTCTGCCCAACCTGGCCTTGAACACTGCCAGGGATGAAGTGTTTAGGTTTGCTTCAGCTGAATGGTGATGCTGTGCCCAGCTTTATGCTGCTCTCCTCTTAGGCAGGACAAGGAAGCCTGGATCAAAGTGAAGTACGTGGAGAAGAAATTCCTCAAGAAGCTGCCAAATGGGGAGGCACTAACAGAGAACGAGCGGAAACCCCGGCGCTGGTGCGTGAAGAAGTGCCAGAGGAACAACAGCACCACCAAAGCACCCACAGCTCGCAGGAAGTACCGCCACGAAGCAGGCAATGCATCACCAGCCATGTTGTCCTCAGGTGGGAACCCCCTTCTGCCTGCTCCCCATGCAGAGCATGGCCTGTGTGTATACAGCTGCCCTTACAACACTGGGGGGCCCTGGCTTTAGGACCTGCAAGCCTGCCAGAGGTAGAAGCACAATGCTGTTGCACAAACTGTGTTGACATGGGTCTTTAGAACCACTTCTTACCATTTTCCATCTGTTTAAGGAGGTTTTTGTGGCTAAAGGAAGAGATGATTACACTAAGGGTATCCAGCATAGGGTGATACATATATATATGAGCATATATATGCTGCTTTGTGCATTTTCTTTTGTATCCCAGCTTCCTGCTTTGTAATAAGTTTCAAATCCTTTGATTTTTACCTGGTGTGTAAGAGAGGCCATGCTTCTGGCTGCTCAGGATGCTCTGGGATGACTTGGTCTGCAGCGTATCACCTGTGCTCACCTCTTTGCTGTATTTTGACAATGGTGTACATGGGCATGAGTGTGGCACTGGAGCCTGGGTTGCATTGGATGTGCAAGCTCAGCTTGTGTAAATACAGCTGCAGAGCTCTCACTTGCATGTTATGAACCGTGTATTTCCTATCTGTGTGTGGAACAGCAGCTACGCTGGAGAGGAAGTTCCGCCGAGATTCCCTCTTCTGCCCTGACGAGCTGGACTCTCTCTTCTCCTACTTTGACACCGGTGCTGGCTCCGGCCCACGTAGTAAGTACAAAGAAAGTACCCCTGCTCCTGGCACCCTTCACCTCCAGCTCTGCCAGGGCACGTGCATTGCACCAGACCTAAGGGAAGGTGTCAGCCTCACTGGAGAGAGGGTAACTATGGCAGAGGAGTGATGGGGAGTTAGTTACACCAACTCCAACCCATTGCTCTGTTGTTAATACCCAGTCAGTCCCTGGTGTTTGCATTCTGATGGGATTTTTTTCCCAACATCTTTTGCATTCCATCAGCTTTTTTTTTTTTTTTCCCTGGTTTTTATTTTGGCTTTTAATTTTTTTCCTCCTTTTTTTTTTAACAAGTCCTGCTCAGGACAGTTTTTGTGTTTGTGCCGATGAACTCCCCTCATGTTCCGTCCACCTTCCTCTAGGTGCCAGCCACATCTCTATGCAGCATCCGCTAGCAGCTGGCCCATGGAGTGGCAGTGGCATTGGTCCCGGTGGGAGCGGTACGCCGTTCCTCCTGGACGGAGGTAAGGTGACGCTCTGGCAGCTAGCAGCAAAAGAGACACCCAGATTTTCCTGTTCCAAACCAAGCTTCAGAAGCAGTTTTGTGTTTTCTTTCAGCCAAATGATTGGAACCCGTACACGGAATCATGGGATTGTCAGTCCCTTGTGGGAAAGACAGCCTGGTTGGCTTTTGAAAGGCAGGAAAGCTTCCTAGGGTTTCCTACATAGACTGGTTTGGGTTGGAAAAGACCTTAAGGTCATCAGTTCCAGATGGGGCAGCCACAGCTTGTCTGGGCAACCTGTGCCAGGGCCTCATCACTCACAGGGAAGAGCTTCTTCCTTATATCTAACCTAAGTCTCCCCTGTTTAAGTCTGAACCCATCACCCCTTGTCCTATCATTACAGTCCCTGATGAAGAGTCCCTCTCCAGCATCCCTGTGGCCCACTTCAGTCACTGGAAGCTGCTCTCAGTCCTTCATGCAGCTTCCCTTCTCCAGGCTGAACAGGCCCAGTGTTCTCAGCCTGTCTCATATGGGAGGTGCTCCAGGGCCTGATCATCCTCCTGGCCCTCCTCCATGTCCTTATGCTGGGGACGCCAGAACTGTTCAGAGTGCTCCAAGTGGGGTCTCACTTGGACAAAGACCTTACTTGACTCAGCAGTGAAGTTACTACATCTTAAAGGATCAGCTGTCCCTCAGATGAGATAAAGGATCCAATCCCCTGCAGATGGGATCTCATGGCAAATAGGAAGTGAGAAGTGCTTACTTCAAATGCCCCACATCTTCACGGAGCAGTCCTGTGGTCCATTATCATACCTAGCTGAGGAGTGGTAACTTCCCACCTACCAGCTCAGTTGCTTGTTATTGTATGAGCTTCTGAGAAATGCTTAGGGTCCTGAGTCAGCACGGCAGAAAATGAGAGGCTTTCCTACAAGTACATGTTATCTCTCGACATCAAGAAGATGATGCTCCAGTGCTTGTCTGAATCAGTGCCCTATGGGCTCTTCCAGTCTCAAGGAATTTAGGGTTATTAGCCAACAGAAACAGTACTTGGGGGATGCAAGACCTCAGAGTTGCTCCACAGCCTTGTAGAAGAAAATGGGAATTTATCACTGATTCAGTGGGAACAGACCCGGGAATTTGATGTATTAATGTTTGTGTGATGGGAGCCAGACCCTTTCTTGCTTGGATGTAGCTCTAGACTTGTTGGAGTCACTCTTTATTGTCCTGCCAGTGGAGAGCACAATCTCACCAAGCACCGTGCTTCCTTTCTGCAACAACCAGCAGTGGCTTTCCTGACAGCAAATCCAATGGGTGCCGCTTCAAACCTTCCCTGTTGTAGCTTCAGTATCTCCTCTGGCTGTTGAGCAGTGCTGAAGGGTTACTTGTGAGCCAGAATATCAGGACCATTGATTTAGATGATATTCTTTACCTGGGTCCTAGCTGTAGCTGCTTGAAGATCTCAGCAGCCAGCCTTTGAGGTGAAGGTGTCTTGTTCTGCTTCTTTCAAGGCTCGGATCCTTAGCTCTTGCAGCCTTCCGTGCTGTTTCCCCTTTGCTCTTTGCAAGGAGTACTCAGCTCATACTTTAGGAACTCTGTCAGCTTGTTTTCATCCCTAATCACAAGGGGTTAAGGGTAGGTCTTGGGGTAGATGAGGGGGACTTGGCCTCTTGGTTTGTGGGAGGACAGACACCCCCAGCCCTTACAGTCATTGGGAAGTTAAAAGCAGGAAGAAGCTGAATCCAGACGGAGTTCCCAAGAGGTCCAGGCATCCCCTGGAGCAGAGGGGATGTGCCATCCATGCTCCCACCGGAGCAGTTCCTGCCTTCCTGTCATTTTCTTGCCTGCTTTTGAGTGCAAGCTGTAAAGGTACCAAGTTTCTCTGCCACTGACACATTGTGTGTCCTTGGGCAAATGGCTTCATTTCTTCCTGACTCCATTTCTTGTCTTGTAACACCCATCAGCTAAGCAGGGAAGGTGGGAAGCACAGTAGGGAACGGGAGGGGACGTCTGTGAAGGTGAATGAGCCAATGGACAATGCTTTAGGAGTTTGGCCTGGAGATACACAATGTTGATGAGGTTTGCCCCAGTTGTGGTCAGTAATCTGTCACAAGAGCAATGCGTTGGCAAGTGACAACTGCAGAGCTCCGGGGAGAGCATGGATAGAGTAGAAACTGAGATTGCCAGTGGTGAAAGCAGAGGGATGCCTGTTTGCTTCTGACACTGCATAACCCGCTGCAAAGCTGTCTCTGCTGCTGCTCTGCTCCAGTCGACGTCACGGCGTCCCTCATGGATTGCAGCAGGGGCTGTCCTCAGCAGTCCAAAGTGCCATGGCAGTGTTGGAGCATCCCTGCATGAAGGGCAGCGTGGGGACACGGACACCATAAGGCTTTGCCCTTTTTCCTTGGGCAGTGTTACTGAGTGGGGCTAATGGGATAGCAGTCCCCCTCTCCCTCGCTGCAGTGCCCGGTGCAGTGTGTGTGTGACGTTCTGCGCAGCCCTTTCCCCCTGTGGTCTCAGCTGTGCCCGGGACTGGAATGCCAGGGTATTAAAATGGGCTTGGTTTGTCTTCTGTTGGCCCTGCAGGTCTGAGCAGTGACAGTGGGCTTGGAGGGAGCACAGATGGCAGCACGGACATCCTGGTGTTTGGCTCTGTGGTGGACAGCGTGACAGAGGAAGGTGGGTGTCACAGGCCACAGGTGTGGGGAGGCAGCTAATGCTGTGAATGCTATGGCAGGATGGATGGTCAGGGCAAGAACAACAGGGAACAGAAGAAACTGGAACTATGAAGCTGTGGGATCATCTCTTTCTATCCTTTACTCTCCTTAGAGTGCGAGGTGTCAGAGGAGTCGAGTGGCGAAGCAGAGATTGAACAAGAAGCATCAGATTTGGAGGACCTGAGGGAGCTGCATCCTGGTTTGTTGATGTACAAGGCAGCACGAGCCCGAAACCTGCCTCTCATGGCAGAAGCACTTGCAAATGGGGCTGAGATCAACTGGGTGAACGATGAAGATGAGAACAAAACCCCTCTGATTCAAGCTGTGATGGGGGTGCGTTGTGCTAGTGGCTGGGAATGGGAGGTCTGGACTCTAGTTCAGAGTGCACTGACCATGGCCAGCTTACAGCCTGGTACGTGCCCCTGTATCCTCTCAGTACTGCTGGCTGAATTAGGTTAGAAACCCCCCTTTCTCTTGGCAGGGCTCCTTGATAGCCTGTGAATTCCTGCTGCAGAATGGGGCAGATGTTAACCAAAGAGATACCCGAGGCCGAGCTCCCTTGCACCATGCCACATACCTGGGGCACACTGGGTAAGTTCTTTTGCACGTTGCTGTGATGTGCTCCATCACCCCTGGATTGAGGTACAGCCTTAACACTGGGAGCCATGGGGTGAGGTGGGCAGGGGAGCTGGGGTTTGGTGACTTGGTTATTGCAAACCATGCCCTTCTGGTTATCTGTAAGGATATTTGTCCCCATATTGATGGACAGGGGTAACTGGGCTGCTGTACAGCCACTCCTTTCTCCGTGCCAGTGCAGCATGTCCTGATTTAGAGCAAGACAAGTGAAGCTGTATCTGCCTAGAGAAGGACAGTGCCCTCTGCCTGGGGCAGGGTGGGCTGGGGGAGCTGGAATTGTGCTCTGATGGTCTTCTCTTCCCCTTGTGCAGTCAGGTCTGCTTGTTCCTCAAGCGAGGAGCAAACCAGCACGCGGTGGATGGCGATGGGCAGGACCCGCTCAGCATTGCAGTCCAGGCAGCCAACGCAGACATAGTCACCTTGTAAGTGCAGCCAGGACTTGGCAGTGCGTGTGCAGAGCAACGCTGCCTGTAAATGGCCATGGGGAGGAGTAACCAAACCCCTCTCCCTTGTGCTTTCTCTCTAGGCTGCGTCTGGCTCGGATGAATGAGGAAATGCGGGAAGCAGAGGGGCCCTTTGGACAACCAGGTCAATATCCCAGCAACAGCCCTACTGAGCTGCAGTACAGGAAGTGTATACAGGAGTTCATCAGCCTTAATATAGATGAGTGTTAGTGACAACTCCCCCACCTCCCCTTCGCTGTCTTGAAGTTGGGCTGAACTTGTAGAAGCCCTGAGAAGCCCCATCCTTGGTATCTTGGTGTTTCTTGCAGATTGGTCTGTTTTTGATGCCTGCACTTATAGGTTGAGATGCACGCAGGAAGGAAAAGGGATCTTTCCTCTTAGCGTTAAGGTCTCATGCTTGACTACTGGATGGTTGATTTTTGTATAGGAGACTCCTAGGGCATAACCACAGACCATGGCACATGGACGTGAGTGTGTGGGAAGTGTGGGAGGTGAGTTTAGCATTTAAAACAAAGACAAGAAAAGGAAACCCTCTGTCACCAACGATACAATCAGACCTCTCTCTGCGTCGGCGTGGTTCCCATGCACTGAGCTCTCATCTGAACAGCCTGGGAGGGGTTCTGACGTGGAGCCCTCTGGCCTGGCAGCGTGACCAGCACCCTGCCAGCTTGCAAAGCTAAAGAGGACCTCGAAGTCAGGACCAGGCTGTTTTGAGGGGCAGAGAGAGATTTGCTCCAGAAGGCACAACGGAAGGGGTAGGATTGAGAGCGATGGCTCCTCACCTCGATTGCTCTCAGGACTATACCAGCCACGCTCCCCTTGTTTTGCCTGTGGTGGTTAGCTGGTCAAAGCCATAGCTCACCTGCTTCCAGGGCCAAGGTGCAACCTGCATGTAGGGTTATGGAAGCAGCAGTGCTAATCAGTTGAGGCTGGGAGAAGCTTGTCGCTGGCGATGGGCTTTGTCAGGGAAGAGAAGCCACGTCCAGCTCCCACTGCCTGAACGAGTGGCTGCACGATGCAATTGGACTTTGGTTCAGTTTGTTTCCTGCTCCCTTCAGGTTTCTGACTTAGCATCTCTGTGAAGGAGACTTCGACTTGCATGCACCCATCCCTCTGTGCTCTCCCCCCGCATGCTGACGCGTGTGAGATGGGCATCTCAGCAGCAGGCCCAGGGGCTTTTGACTTCCCCAGTTCCATTGCCCGGCAGAATCTTCTTTTTGTTTCTTTCCTTGGGTTATTCTTTGCTGGAGCGGGGGACGTGGTTTGACTTGGAGCACTGTGCTGCTGTGTTCATGGTCTGCGTGATGGGCTCCGCAGAGATGCTGCAGCCATGGAGTGCTGGCTCTGAGCACAGGCACCACTGGCAGGTATCCTCTGGCTGGGGTTCTGGGTGCCAGGCTGAGGCCTGCCCCCAGCTGCAGCTGACATCAGTTTTTCAGGGCTCATGGCTGTCACTTCACAACTGGTATTTACCTGCTTGGGCTTGGGCCGTTGTGCCTTATGGGTAGTGCTGGGATCTTGAGGGGATCAAGATCCAGCAAGGAGCGCAGGAATACCAGGCAGAGTTCCCCATCCTCCTGCACTCCATCAGCACTGGGGCACAAGCAGAGCATTTTTCACCCAGTACATGTCTGAGTCCTTTATACTGTTTTATTCTGGCTGCTGGCGTGCTGCTCCCCTTACACACTTCACAGCTCTGTCCTGTTGACATCACGTGTCCTCAGATACTGAAGCAGCAGGGATCCAGCTCCTCCCTCAGACTGAACCAGCAGCACCAGTGTCCATGCCCACATCTACAAGTGGAACAGTGAACTCCACTCCAGTCTCTGGTAGAAGTTCTCTCAGTGCATGGGAGGAGCCCTGCCTCCTCAGGAAGGTGCTGTCCCAAGCTCTGCTGCAGCCAGACCGCAGCTTTCCATCTGCACAGGCTGGGTTTTGAAATCCCGTCTTTTTCTTGTTGCTTTCTCCTGCTTGTTCCCTTTGGGATGCACCCAAAGGTGCTGAGCACCACGTTCTGAGCTCGGGCCCAGCTGTGAATCTGAAATGTTCCTGGTGACTGTGCTGGAGCTGCCCCAGGGCCTTTGTGCTTCCATAAATAACAATCAATCTGCTTCCATCAGTCCTGGAAAACAAAACCGAATGAGCTTGGCCCCATTGGCCTTCATGGCATTTTCTCCTTCAGCCCACTCTTTCTGTCCTGGGGTTCCTTTCTGCTCTGGAACTCTCCCATAGCCTCTCACGAGGCAATGCTCCCTCTGAACTCTGCAGTAGAAGCTGTGGGATGTGCCCGTAGTTGGCAGAGGACAGGTCCCTTGGTGGTGCTCCCATTCTGTTCAGGGATTCAGGATGGGTGCTTGTGGGATGGAGCAGTGCATAAAATGCAGTGCAGCTTCAGAGGAATGCAGGATGTAGAAATCCTTGGTTCAGAGGAGCAGGGACCGTGTCCTCATTGCAGGTCCCACAAGTGACTCTGGAATCCTGCCACCATCCCTGGCAGTGCTCAAGGCCAGGTTTGGCACAGCTTGGAGCAAGCTGCTCCAGTGGAAGGGATCCCTGCCCATGGAAGGGGTTAGAGCTGGATGAGCTTTAAGGTCCCTTCAACCCAAACCATTCCATGATCACTGAGTGAAGAGGGCTGGCCCCAGGCATCCAGCTGTGCGATACCAGATGCAGGCAGATGTGCACTGTGCGTAGCTGTTGCTGCAGTGCTGCTGCGTGGTCTCCTTCAGTTTGGGTTTAATACACCCTGGGTTAAGGCTTTCTTCCTGATGCCCATGTGAGGTACAGCTGGCGTTTCTTGTGCAGCATTAAGGTTACCACTTTGTGTTCTCCTGGAGCTTCATCTCTTGGTCCTTTGCATTGGGCTTTGTCTTCTTCCTGGTCCACTTCAGCCTAAATTCAAATGGTGATGCCTTCACTTGTCACTGCCCCATTGACACCCCTCCCTTACCAGTGGAGCCCGCTTTGCAGCTGGGTTGGATCAGGAGCAAGTCTGTCAGGTCACAGATCATCCCTGGTGTGGAGCTCACTGCTCTGTGCAGAGCTCGGATGGTGCTCAGCAGGATGGGATGCGGTGCTGAGCCTGCAGCAGTACAGCAGAGCCCTGAAGCATGGGTCTGCCTTCAGCAGGACTGTGCTGTGCTTAGGCTGAGGCCTTGCAGATCACCCTGCAGCATCCACATCAGCATTAGTGCTTGGTACAGGAACCAGCATCCAGGCAAGAGCACACTGTGCTTCCTGGGTTAGGGATTCCGTGTCATGAGTTCTCTTTGTTAACCCCATCCCATTTCATCCTGACCTGCCCCAACTGAGGCTCTGCCAGTGCTGATGTCCCCTCAAGCTGTGCCCCTTCCTGGGGCACTGAATCAGAGCTGGCACCTTGCAGGGTACTTCAGCGAGCTCACAAGTGAAATGGATGCTTCACCACTGCCATGGTCCTGCTGTGCTCCCCAGTCCCAGCCCGCTCATTGCCCAGCCATGGCTGCTTTCCCATGGACAGCATCTTCAACCGCCCCCATTGGGTTTCCAGCTCTTTAGGAGTCACAAACCACTGATCCTTGCTGTGAGCCAGTGAGAACTGGAGCCGTGGCTTCCACTTTGGGTCATTTGATTTCACAGCAGCAGGGGCTCAGGGGAACAAGGCCAAGGTCCTGCCCGCTTGGGTCCAGCCTCACTGCTGAAGTACACGAGGTCAAAGCCGATGTAAATACTGATGCAGAAAGCGGTGTCTTGCAAGACAATTCCTCTATTTAACTTGTATTGGTACTTTATTTAGACTCAATGTATAAAGCAACTTTGTGCACTTTTCCTACATACAGTATTGGGGGGGGGGGGGGTTATGTTCTTTTTGTTATGGGTTTTGTGCTGTCTTTTTTAAGCAGTGAACTTGTTTGTTGAGTGTTTAATTTATTCTCGCCGTGCCCAGAGGATTAGTGCAATTCCCTCCAATACAGTCGGTCTGTATTTAATGTCAGCAGTTTGTTTGTAGCCTCCTTAGGGAACACCCTCCAAAACCTCCCTTTCCCCCCTCCCCATACACACAATTCCCTCCCTTTCCTCGCATCAGAGCTGCCTCCGGTTCAGCACACGATCGCTGTCACCCAGCCTGCAGTGCTCTCCAGGGGAAGGCACTTTGTGTTCTTCATGTTCCTGGGGGTGGGTGCCTGTGTCCATGCGTGGAGGGCAGAGGGAAAGGCCAAGCAGGCTCCAAGGAAGGTGGGGATCCAACCCCTTCCTTTGTGCCTTCAGCCGCAGCTGGGTTTGTGTTGTGCAGCCTCGTTGGAGGCATCAAAAGCCAAACCCCCTCTCTTTGCACTCCTCCTGTGTTATCCATCCGCTGTGCTTGCAACCACGGTTACCATGAGGAGAGCTGCCTTTGTCGAGACAGCAGCGTGCCAGCATTGCCCAAACACAAATGGACCCAAGCCATCGCCTCAGCCATGCGGATTCTGGCCCTGTTTGAGGTTTGGGGATCAGGCTGAACAGCTCCATCCCTGCCCCAGCTGTTGCTTGACCTGGCCCAACCCTGTACAACCAAGTGCTTGGACAAGGCAGTCTAGGGTTGGATCTTTGGGGTCTGCCACGTCTCTGCTTCCAAATGGGATGAGGTCAGGTTGCTGGGAAGTGGAGATGATGCCACGTTCCAGCTCCACACGTCAGCCAGGGAAGCCTCAGGTTATGTTCATGCTGTTGCCTCTGAGATGGTCTCTGCAATGAGGAATTCCTTTGAGCAGTCCAGAGGGAGAACAGGGAATTGGCAGGATCTGGCTTGAAAGAGGATTGGAGGCACTGAGGCCGTGCTCAGCGTGCAAGAGATGAGGAAACATCTCAGCCCAGCCAAAACGGCTGTTATGTATGCCAGAGGAAAAGCAGGACCTCCTGGAGGAATGCACTGCTTTACTTACTGTCCAGTGGCCACAACGCAGCCAGGGTGTCTCGTGCTGGTGGTGCTGTGCTGCTCGACTGTCCCTGACCCCCTCCCCTCCTCACTGCCCGAGCGTTGCTGCGCTCAACCAAAGACAAGAGAGGCTGAAGGGGCTGAACCCGCTCTGAGAGCATCGGGTGGCTGATGGAGCGTGAGTGGGTGCGTGTGCTGCTGCTCCATGGAGAAGGGGCTGAGCAGGAGAGCGGAAGCTCTGAAGAAACCAGGTTTTCCTTTGAGATTCCAGGATAGCGAGGGCTGTTCCCATAGGAATGGGATTGACATCGCTCTGCTGGGTCCTCCTCAGCCCTGTGGGGAGTTGGGGCTGGGGTTACTGTAAACCCAGTGGGAATGGTGCTGGGAGGGAATGAGGGACAGAGGTGGGAATGAGAGTTCCCAAGGCATGAGGAGGACCACGTGTGTTTGCAGAGGCTGAAGCAGGAGCATTTGCTCTACAAACACACCTCGGCCAGCCCTTAGCACCAGCGTACAGTGAGGGCTGTGAAGGAGCAGGCTGAGTTTGTGCATCCCTGTGCTCCCATCAGTGATGTGGTGCCTTTGGGTGTCCACGCATCCACAGACCTCAGCTGACTCGAATCCATTGTGTCCCTCTAA